TCAGATGAGAGAAAAAGATCCAGTGAAAGGAATGTCGGCTGCAGATGACTAATATGACTCCTTCCTTGTGCACTGTAGGTATCAAGAGATTTGACAAAACTCTGTATTGCTCTATTTGGTTTAAAACCCCCAACATTTGTGTGAGAAATGATCCTGTTCATAGCTTCTGACAGGCAAATCTGTGCTACTGATTGTTTTTATAGTGAACTTGTTTCACTGACAGGTTGATGAGTGAGGTTTACTGCCTCGTTTCAGAACTATTCTAAAGAAAAGTCTGAGTGAAAAGTGTAAGAAAAATGTGTTAGAAGATTCTGTGGATTTTACTGCTATTCTTATTTCTGTAGTGTGCATATGTTACTTTCCATGACTTGCAGAGAAACTTTTGTCAGTCTCAAAAAAGTAATTTAGACATACACATGCTTAGAATACAGTTGGAAAATTGAACATTCCAAGCACATTTGTGAGGAATTCATTTTTTCCATTGCTTGTTAGCAGTATTTACTAATGGGCCAAGTCTTGAAGTAACACCTGGGCATTGCAAGAGAAGCAGCAATGGCAGTTTTAAAGCTTTTGACTTGTTTCCTTTCTATTCTGTTCAATATGTCATCATTTGGGGGCTGGCTTTGCCACATTTTTCTTAGCCATTGCAAAAATGTGGTATGGTATTAGAGAAGTAAGAAAGCAAGGAGAAAGAAGGGATTGTTCATTTATGTTGGGAAGAACATGTTAATTAGGGCAGTAAAATGTCATCCTAATTATCTTTGGAAGGAACAGGGTGGGGCAGGGCCACATACTCCTATACTGACTCTTGACCTCTGTTTGCCCTCTGTTATCTGCTGGTTGCTTGGTTTGAGTGGGGAACACAAGGTGAGGAAGTGTCTGAAGGGCTGCTTTTTGATAGAAATATTTTAATTTTGGAATGCAGCTTCAACCACTTGATTTTCTTCTGTCCCATTTCCTCTGGATCAGTGCTGTAACCGTGCATTGTCTGCCTGGCGACAGCGTGACTCACATTTACTCTCTCAAGGTTGTCTGACACTTCCCTTGGCACTCAGCTCTTCCAAAGTCATCCTGAAACATTTCCCTGTTGTCTCTTTGTTTCAGTTTGCAAAGACAGTCGTCAGGAAGGCCCAGGGAATCCACACCCTTGACTGACGGACCATCTCTGGATCAAGCCTTTCTCTGTCACACCGGCAGGCGATTTTAAACCTCCCATAGCTAATTCTAGATGCCCCTTAATATTGTGAGCAAATAGACAGTCTGGTACTAAGCACTCCAATGTTAGCACGTGTACCCCGAGGAGTTTCCCCCTGGGGGCCGTGTGACTTAGAGATCGCTGTATTTATGACTCCTCCCTCCTCTTTTTTTCATTGTGTTCAGACCAATTTCCATGTGGCCCTGTTTGATTTCCAAGTGACATTTTTAGCTCAAATAGTCTTGTGATGTGGTGACTTAGAATTTTTTGGTTTTGTTTTGGTTTTGTTTTTTTTTTTTTCCAAGTGGGATAAACTGCCATCTTTTTTTCTGCCCAGCCCTTCACTGTTCTTTGAATGTCTGTTTGGAGAGGGAAATTGTCCGTATTTAAAAGTGTAAAACTCTTCCAGGAAATGTTCTGCTCTCACCCTTGCTCCTGGAGGGAGATATTTAATGGCAGGTAACCTGAGTACAAAATGAGGAGCAGCCAGAGAGTTCTTGGTTTGTGATGAGTTGTGATTTGTGGCTCCTGCAGGACATTACTTTGTTCTGTCTTAACAAACATGAATTAAAGAGTGCCCAGAAGCTGCAGTCAGGCCCTGTACTGGGACCTTCAGCAATTACCTGTTGAGTTTCCATTTTAGGGGTGTCTCTGGCCCATGTAGCTCTGTTGTCCTTCAGCTGTGAGTGTCAGTCTTACAAAATCTTTCTTGACATATGTTGCAACTTCCTGGTTCTTTATTTATTAAGACTTCCCATAACTTACAAAGCTGGAATGGTTTTGACTAATAATAACAATGTGATTGTCCCTGGACAAATTGGGATGTTGCAAAGGCTGGTGTGCAAGGAAGGTCTTGGCATCTGGTTACATCCAGGTGCCTGGAGTGATGGTTCTGCTCAGCAATAATATTCTTCCCATTGCAAGACTGACTAAAATATCTCCTTTTGTGCTGTAAGAAAAGCAACTTATAAAGACCTGCAGTTTTCTAGGATATCTGTTGGTTATTATAAATCATAGAGGATACTGTTAATGTAAAGAGCTCTTGTTATTTAATGAACTCAAATATTTACTGTAACTATCCTAATGTTGATATCAGCTTTAGACAATCAACTCAGCAGAACGGAATCAAGGAAATGCTGCTTTCTTCAATACATATGAGGAAAAAAAATCCTACTTCTTTGCTTATCCCTAAGGCCCAATGTTTGATTTTTTTCCTCCCCTAGTAGTAATAACTTTATTTTCCACTTCTGTGTTTGGCAGCACTAACATGAAATCTTGTATGCCAAACAGTCGTGGGTGTATCACCACTTTTGAGGAGTCTTTTTAGCATTCTGTAATACACTGACTCCTCCAGCCCTTCCCACTCCTGCAAGCAGGGGATCCTGAAATGATCCCATGCCCTGCTGAACAAGGCTGTGCTGGGATCAGAGCTGTTTTCAGTGTGAGGGAAGATGGGAATGCTCTGGAGGGAGAGGATGGTGTTTGGTTTCTGGAGAGGGGGCAGTTTATCCCTTTATTTTTAGTTTATTTTGCCTTACTCATGTCTAAGTGCAATAAGCTCTGAATTGTACCAGTAACTCTGGCAGGCTCTTCTCAGTGACCTCAGACGGTTCTGTGGGGTTGGGGTGGGGTTTGAGGGGTTTTAGCAATCTCACCAGGCAGAAGTAAAACAAGTTTATTGTAAAATAGGTAAAGAAACTAAATTTTAATCTTTGAGGCTATTTGGGACCAGGATGTCTCATGACATGTTGTATAGCTGTTCCAGAAGTATTCTAGGAGTGTAGGCCCCAGTTAGAGTTCTTTCAGTTTGAAGTATTTTTAACAGAGAATTTATGCACTGACTTGTGTTCATGTTTGTTGGTTACGTTTTGAGGGATTCTTACACTTGAGGGCGACCTGAGAATACACACAGCACACTTGTTCTTTCAGTTTGTGTTATCCAAGAGGCTTTCCATCTGATGACACTAATCGCCGTGGAAGCAGATTGTAACATTCCACCATTGCAATCCTTTTTTGATCCTCTGATTTCAGAGTAAGAGCTTTTACACAAAGCTTTCCTGATTAGTGGAAAAACTTGGAGGGGGGGGGGGGAATTCAGGAACTTCAGCCTGAATACTCCCCCTCTGCTCCCTGCCCTTTGTTTTCTGTCCTTCCAATCCGATCCTAAGTGAAAGCATCCCTCAGCCTTTGGATAGACAAATCCTGTAAAGACCCTTCAGTCTCTCGACGCTTGGTTCCTGCTAGTGAGCATAGCAAAGATCCCGCAGCGTTCCCGTGCCGTATCTTCCATCAGCTTTGGCGAGACCCCCTGGACCTGCCGGCTTCCCGGCGGGATCGGCTCCGTGCAGAGGGGCGGGATGCGCTGGGATCGCCCATTTCCCCCCCCACCCCAAAGCCGGGTGGGTTTGGGGCTCCGGGGGCAGCTCCCTCGTATCCCGCAGCCCTCGGGGTTCCTCCCGCTGGAACCCGCCACGTCCCGGCGGATTCTCCGTGCTCTTCTTTCCTTTGGCGACACACACTTTGTAGAATGGGTTAGATTATCTCGTCGTTTCTTTAAATGTGAGTTTGTGCCTTTTTTGTCTCCTAAATCTTCCAATACAGGCATATTGGAAACGAAATCTAATAAAATACTAGACAGAGCCTCTCGCCTTCGCCTCCTTTGTTTCGTTTTTTTTTTTTTTTTTTTTTTTGGGAGGGGGAGGATATTGGTGCCATGCTGGGGCTGCTCTGGGTCCTCCGGGCCGCGAGGGGGCGCTGTAGATCCGGCCGTGCCCTCCCTGTGACGCGCGTCGATGGGCGCGGAGCGCTGAGGGCGGCGCGGAGGCCGCGGCCGGGCCGGGCCGAGCCAGGGGAGCGCGGGGAGCTCCGCCGGGCCCTTCCCCGCCCCTCGGGCAGCGCTTCCCTACGGGAACCCCGGGCATGGAGACCGCGGGACTTCCCACCAAGGACTTGAGGTGAGTGGTGGGCGCGGAGGGGCGCGGGTCTGAGGGCGGCTCCGAAAAGTAGCCCCGAGCGGTTACGTAAATCGGCGAGAATTAGCGAAACTTGTGTGTGTGTGCGCTCATTAATGGGGGGTTACACTAATTGGCGGCGTTGCGTAGTCATAGGAAATAGAGGAGAAAAGCTGATTTTGTGGTTTGGGAGGTCGGTACTGGAGGGGTTCAGGGAGGCTTATGGGGCATTTCTGGGTGTTTGGGACTTCCCGGAGCTCTGTTAATGTGTAATGAGGGCACGAGCATCTGCGCTTTTTAATGGACCGGGTGTGTCGAACCTGTCACTTTCTGGGAGGAAGAAGAAGCTTGAGTAAATATTGACCTTCTGCTTTTACGGTGTTTTTGTAATGTATCTTCACTCAGTGTCGATGTCCTGTCTGAGCTCGATTCCCTACAGAAACCTGCTTAGATGGGATTTGGGTAACAGCCCGTGACAGGAAAATTTTAAAAAACAAACCAACAAGCTGTCAAGAACTCAAATATCTCAAAAATCCTCTGAAGGCTTTATTATGAGCACTGTGACCCTGAGAAATTCTCCGCTATTGAGTCATTTAAAGATTAGCAACGGTGATGCTAAATAATGACATCAGTAGATTGCTTGTATTTAGGACAGTGTTTATTTCTGCCACTGAAGTCTGTGTTTTTATCAGACTGTGGTTACTGGGCACCTTGAGGAATTGAGTTTCTATCAGTAATGACTGATGGTTTTAACATTATTTCAGTTTTGTTTTATCAGGCAATTGTCTTACAAAATTAGTAACTCGAGAGTGTTCCCAAGTGATATATCCCATGGCAGAATTAGATCTGCAGTCTACCTACATTGGTTTTTTTTCTCCTAGAAATTTGTTTTGGACTAACTTTTGGGTGAGCTCAGCATAGTCTTACAAAGATACACGATTAGTGAGGGAAATTATGGATCATTTTAATTTGTTTTAAGGTAATTTTCCAGCTTTTCTGCATACATTGTGTGTCACCTTGAACAGACAGCTGATTGTGGGATAAAAACACAGCCTTAATAATGGGTGTATGGGTGGGATTCACTAATTATCATTGTTTATAAAGGTATTATAGAATCCTGAGATGGGTAGAAATTTAACAGTTTATTAATTTTTAAGCCTGTCTGTCATGTAACAAGACTGACAGTAAAGTGAATCTTTTTTTTAGAAGCTCTGGTACTGAAGTTCCCATTTTGTGAAGTAACAGCAGAGAAGTGCTGTGATGTGAATGTTGAGAGGAGCAGTGGCTTTGCTTGGTTCTGATCAGAACTTTTTATATTTGGGATCTGGAGATTACATTTCTCCTTGCCTGCAGACAGGCACATGATCGATTCAAATCAACAATAAATTCTTTTAAACCTTGAGCTCGTCGAATTAACCACGTTAAATCTATTATGAAAAAGCCAATTCACTGTGTGTGGCAGGACGTGATTGCAGCTTTTGTAACAACCCAGCGAGTGTGCTGGCAACGCCACATTTTTTTTCCCCCGGCATTGCTGCACCTGCATTTATCCTTTTGTGTTGGGAGCGATGCTGAATTCCACAGGGTCCGCAAGACCCTTATCAATCTCTTGATTTTAATGGGCCAGTCCTTCAGGGCGTAGCTCTAATTTGGAGCAGATGGCATCGCCGGGCGGCGAGGATGCATTTCAGCATTGCGAGGGGCTCTCTCTTTTGGATTTGGAGAGCCTGGGCAGCCTGCGCAGCCGCTCCGCCAGCATCGGCAGCACCGGCTCCAGCGGCCGCCTGCAGCTCCGGCACAGGGTGGCACAGCTCATGGCCTGCGTGGAGGACATCAGCTCCGATGATGAGATCCACGAAGAAGTGTCTCGCACTCTGGATGAAGCTTTCCTCATCTGGGGGAAAAAGCTGAAGGATAAGTGGCAAGAATTCAGGTTTTGCTCCCTCCGCTTGGTTGTTTTCGGGGGCTGGCAAATAGATTTCTGGTTGATGGAAAGTGATAGGAATTCTGTGGGGAAATTAGAACGTTCTTAGAGTTGGTTGCCTGTCCACATTTCAATTTTAGCATTGATTTTGTGTGGTTTCTGTTTGTTTTTTCAGACTACACTTAGTTACCTGGAATGTGGGCACAGCTTCTCCCCCTCCCGATGTCACGAGTTTACTTCAGCTCAACTCGCTGGGCCCGACCACGGATATGTACGTTATAGGGTGAGTGATCTGAAAAAACTTGCTCTGTGAGTCTATTGCAAAACTGCTGGGTCTCAGCATGGTCTGCTCTGGGAGGACTGTGTGATGTGAATCACTGCCTGGGAGATAGTTTAACACTATTGCTACCAGAGGGTAAAGACTAACTTAGTCTTACTAGCAGAGGACTAACTTAGACCAGAGACGATTTATAGCAGTTAGCTGCTTCTATGTGGTGACAGAATACAGAATATCTTTTTTCTAAGCACACAAAAAGTTTGGGCTGCTGTTTTCTTTGTTAGCATGTTCATTTTGTTATTGGAAAATCAGAGCGTTTTAAGGGAATTAGTGCAAGTTTGTTAGGCACAGTCTGCCACTGTGTTTTCCAAACTATGTTGAAATTCTGAAGTCCTGACAGTCAGGTTATTTGTTATAACACATCTTAAACTCTATCTTCAGGTGTATATAGCTTCCTTTAATTTTGTTTTCCTCAGTGTCAGATGTGTTAGATCTGTGTGTGGGTTAAACTGCTTGAATGAGAAACTACATGAGAAATACAGCAATAAATTTCTGGAGTCTTTGTTCTGCAAAGTTCCTATGAATTGTGTCCAAGCCAACTGGTGCAATGTGAGTAATTGTGATGTATTCAGCTTACAGGAGGTGAATTCAAGAATCCCAAATTTTCTGTCTGACTTGGCATTTGATGATCCATGGAGCATTTTTTTCATGACTGTCTTGTCTCCCTTGGGATATATAAAGGTAATTATTTACCTCTCTCTTAAGTGTCACAGCACTGAAGGAAAAGATATTTATTTTTTTCCTCAGATTATCATAAAAGATAAGTTGTTGGTGTTTTTGCAGGTCTGTCACTTCCATAGGTGCATGTGTGTTAGAAGTAAGTCTTCATCACACCTGTGTTTTCCTGTTTTTATGTGATGTGATCTCAGACTGAACAGCATAGTTCCTGTGGCCACAATATCTCTCTCTCTCCCTTGTTAGTAGAGAAGTTTTTTGCTCTGTGCAATATTGGGGAGCTGTATTGTGATGCTTCTAGTGGAGTCTTGCACTATAAATACCCAAGCAATGGCAGTGATTTTCATTAAGATTGGTCAGGCTCCTTTATCTTGGGTTTTTTTCCAGTTTGTTTGCAGGTGAAAATAAATTGCATATGTATAAAACACGATTTTAGTGGGTGTATACGTTTAAGTGAGGACTTAATTTTTGGTTGAAGACCTATAACATTATATGGGAATTTAAATGATAAGATTTTGGGGTAGGGACATGAGAACAACTAAAGTACTGGCTGTACTGTACTTGTTTTAATAATGCCAACAATAAATGTAGGAAGGTATCCTGAATTTCTCTAGTAAAGAGAAATTAAAAGCCTTTTGTAGTGATTTTCTAAACCAAGCACTATTTTAGGCTGATTTTGCTGAGGTAATTGCATTATATGCATGCTAATCACACTCAGTAGTTGTGCTGTTCTTTTAATTGTAATTAAACAAAACAAAGGACCCATTGGGAATTACAAAAAGGAAAAAAACCCACATTGTTCATTCACTCTGGCCTAGGTCATTGCTGATAAAAATTCAAAATCTGGCCGTGGGCTGACATTCAGGCCCTGTATACACAGAGTTAAAAGAATTCCTGCTGGTATGCCTGGCTGATTTTGAATTCTAATTTATAACTGAGGCATTTTGGAGCCCACTAATGAATGGATGCTGCCACCTAATGGCTTTCAGCAGGACTTGATTATCTCTAATAATAAGGGAGAGCTGTCAGGCCGGGTCAAAATCAAACCAGGCAGCAAGGAAAGGTTATCCCAGGACTTGGGCAGGAATTTGGCCAAGCAGGAGAGGAGCAGTTCCCCCTTGGCTGACCTGTGATGAGGTTGGGTGTGGAGGGAGAGGTGTCATCCTTGGGACATTCTGTCCCCTCAGTGACAGGGTCTGTTTTTAGAGTGTTCAATTGGTCACAGTCAATTCTTCCACCATGCACAGGATCGTGTTCCTTCTCTGCAAGGGCTTTGCTTGATTTGGCTCTGAGGACTGGTGGGGCTGGTGCTGGTTCCAGCAGGGCAGGGGTTAATGCCCTGTGGTGTTCAGGACCAGTGGATGGTCTTGAGAAATGTCTGGGGACTGGTCACAGCAGAGTGAAATAAAGCAAACAAATAACAAAGGGACTGGAAAATCCTGGTACCTCATGAATGTAATTATGGGAAGGAGAATGCTGACTGCTAAAATATTTATGCATCATTAGTAATTGCAGTCCATTGTTTCAGTATTCTGTGGAGTATTTTGGTGGGTTCAAGGACAATGAAAACGTTAAAATATATTCTGAAGTCATTTAATTGTATAGATATGAAGGTCAAGAAAGGAGGAATTCTGTTTTAAATTTTGGGCTGAATTCTTGTGCTTCTCCAGCAGTTGTATAGTCAATTTTATTCTAATGTAATCTGTTTCTAAATTAATCCAGCATAAAACTGAACTGCAGTTAATGTATTTCCATGTCTGTATTTTAAATTGAATCATTATCATTAAAGCAAACACAATGAATTTTGTGTTTCATGCCAGGAACATTATGAAGTCCACAAATGTTCAGTGAAGAATTATCTTTATTACACTATTTCCACACACACACAAACAAAAAAAACCCCAAACCACAAAACCCCGTGTATGTGCTCTCTAAGTGTTTGGTAAATCAGTTTTTACAGGCACTGCAGGCAGGAGTTTCTGCTATTTGCAGCTCATTGTTTTTGCAGATGCCTGGAATTGACTGCTGTGCTTTTGAGGCATTTAATGGCATTTAGAATATTTAATGATGTGCTTAAGGGTGCTTCAGCATGAAAAGCTTGCTGCTTTTGGAGGACTTGTAAGTATGAGTTACAAAGCTTTTAGGTGAAAAATGAAGGATTTGGTTCTTCATGAACAGGATTCTTAAAGACAGAAAGAAGAGGCTGTTGAGGCAGAAGAAAAGTCTTTAAAGAGATTTGGGCAGGTGCATGTTTTGAGGTTGACTTCAGACTCAAATATAATGTTAGATCTGTGTTAATTAGCTGAGGAATTGATCAGATGTGTTTGTAAGGAATATGTTTTTCACAGCACTGTGTAAATGCAGTATTGAGGCCAGGCCTCGAGAGGGAATTGCATGACTTCTGCTGTGGCCTTCTTCACCTAAAAGCTCCTGTGAAGCAAGGCCAAGGAGCTCCTGGAAATGACCATTCCTTCTTTTGTCTCCTGCAGCTCTCCTCGGTTCGCATGCAGGGGTTGCTGCTTCTGATCTTTGTGAAGCACGTGCACCTTCCCTTCATCCGGGACATCCACACCCACTACACCCGCACGGGCCTCTATGGCTACTGGGTAAGGGCTGCTCAGTGTGCTCACCTGCTTGTGCTGCTCTGGGACAGACGAGATGGGGTTTAATTAAAAATTTATAACCTGACAAGCAGAAAAACTCTGCTTTCATTTATTTGGACCTCGTGTGCAGCACACACGAATTTCAGATTTCAGTTGATTTGCTGATACACAACAATTTGTGTAGGAAGAAATGGTGCTGATTTACATCTTAATTGCAAGATTCCAAAAGTCCTAGGTGCTGTTAGTTACATTTGCAGGCATTGAGTGCAGTTTCAGGGAGTGTTGTTCACCTTCCGTGCCAGGGGAACAAAGGAGGAGTCAGTGTCCGCATGTCCCTCTTTGGGCACACGCTCTGCTTCATGAACTGCCACTTGCCAGCTCACATGGAGAACACAGAGCAGCGACTGGATGACTTTGAGAAGATTCTGGAAATGCAGTTTGAAGGAGAGGATATTCCAAGTCCCTTGGATCATGAGTGAGTTGTTCACACAGTTCAGTGTTGTTTTCTCTATTATGGGGTGAACTGTTGCACTGAAGAGTTTTGGGTTTGGATTTTTCATCCATCGTTTTTATTTTAAATGTCCCTTCAGCCTTCACCCTCAGCCCTGGGAGGAAAAGATAACCTGAAAGACAGATATCTGTTTTACAAAACTATTTTATTCCAGTTTCTAATTACATTCATTTGTTAGCATATAAACTGTACATGTCATACAGGAAATCTTTAGAAGCTAAAGCCTATTTATACCAAAAGTCCTTTAGGTTGCTGTTAAATGTTCAGAGATGTAAGACTCAGGAGAAGTTAATATTGAGGCAATAATAAGCAAGCAGCAAGAATGCAAGGGACTTAATTTACTGTTTCAATTTCTTCAGTTTTTTTTTTTTTTTTTTTTTTATTTTTTTTTTTTTGTTTAGCAGCAGGTTGTCCCTGTGTAAGCTTATCTATTACTGCTTAATGTTTGTGTTTAAGCTGTTTGCATTAAGTAATAAAAGTGATTAGAGCACCTCATTAGTGTAATGGCTAATATTCTGCCAAATTCTTCCCTTGAGTTAATAAATTCATATGAATCTTCCTTGTTTGATACATTTTGGTTTGGCTTTAAGGGTTCTCTTCTGGTTTGGAGATCTGAACTTCCGGATAGCAGATTATGGGATACACTTTGTCAGAGAATCAATCAACAACAAGCGTTTCAATCTGCTCTGGGAAAAGGACCAGGTAGGTTGGCTCAGTTTCTTTGGGGGTTTGGTTTTGGTTTTAAAGCACACAGACACATTGTGGAAGTTAAATTACACCTTGAGCTTCTCATTTCTGTTAAAGAACACAGACTCAGAACAGTCATGAGCTGGTCATAAGCCCCAGTTAATTGCAATCTTTTTCTGCTTTTGTGTAGTCTCTTACTCATTTGAAATGCTCATGTTTGACTGGAGATTTCTTTGAATTTCATGTCTTGTCAGTTGTTTCATCACCTCCTCTTCTCCCAAGAATTCTTTTTAAGAGAACCTTATTCTGGATTTTGTTCTGAGTAGAATTGCCTCTAAACTTTTAGATGGATCACATCAAGAGTTCTGGCTATAACAAAGAGACTCTTCTGAATTTACCTTTCCAATGTTGTACTGACTGCAATGTTGAATTCTTGGAAGATGCTTTTCCAATCATCCTTTAAGCTCTGTTTTTTTAACGTGATCTTTTTAAAGTTACTTTTTATTTCTGCAGTTAAATATGGCAAAGAAGAAGGAAGCATTTCTGAAAGAATTCAAAGAGGGTCCTCTGCAGTTTAAGCCCACCTACAAGTTTGACCTTTACTCAGAGGTCTATGACACAAGGTAAAAGATAAAATGAATTTAGACATGGAATATGAGAGTGAATGTGGTGCTTGGTTAAATATCACTTTAGTAATAGCAAACCTGAATTTCCTGAGTGTACTGGGGCTATTGAGCTGTTCTGTTAGGCTTGGATTGATCAAATCTTGACTAAATTAATATTTTTGGCTGAAGAAGCTGGGGTCTGCTGATGGTATGAGGGAAGTAATGAAACAGCCCAACTGCCTTTTTGCAAAGACCAGATTAATAAAATAAACGAGCACTTGTTTAAGCTGCTTTTTTATTATTTTGTACTAAAAGTGCTTATTAGTTGTCAAAAAGGAGCAAAAAAAAATTGTCTGTCATGTTTGCTTCCCTTCTCTGTTTAAGCATTTCATTTGATATGTTGGTATTTGAAAATTAATATATATTTGTCTTTATTGATTATTTTTAGTTGGTGTGTCTTAATTTTCCAAAGTTTTTCTGTGATACTCAAGTCTGTTTGTTAAGTATTAGTCTTATGTTTCCACAGAAGGATAAGTTCCTGTCCAAACAGGGTTTTGTACTGATCTTTTTCTTTACTTTCAGAGAACAGAAGTCCCTGTTTTGGTTTAAGTAAGAAGAGAACTTTCTGAATTTTGTAGTTTTTTTAATATTTCAGAATCAAAACAAGGCTCCATCTGAGCTTTTGCTTTGGTTTTTGTGAAATATTTGAAAATCAGATGACAGCTGATTTTCTTTAGGGATTTTCTTTACCTTTCTGAAAGCTCCAGTGTTATCTACTCTGCTGTTGCACTTAACATTGGAAGTTTCTTCATGTGGACCCAAAGACATTTTGCTTCCTAACTGAATATGAAGAGATGTAATGGGACCAGCAGTAAATCCATCTAACAAAAAAGACTTAAAATAATCCAAACCTGGACATTTTACAAACAGTTCATAGCTTGCTTGTCTGTATTGGCTGATTTAGAGAACAAAAAGTGTGGCTGCACGTTCTGTGTGCATCCTGCTGCTGTTCAAACTACCAGCCACACTTAGCTCAGATGGGGGTGACCAGCAGACCTCAAGGCAAATGTTGCTTTTACTGAAGCCCACAGGATTTTATTTTTGATACTCCTTCAGTGTGCATTCTGAGGGTTTGTTTCCCATCCAATACCCCATTTTCTCTAAAGCAGTGTTTTACCTTTATTCTTTTGGTATTTTCCTGCACAGCAGAGCAGACATTTGGCATCTCCTGAAGATTTCTGTCTGTTTATAGAATTACTGCACTAAGTGGGATAAGGGCCCTTAGTCATTTCCAATCTTTCCACCTTATTAAAGGTGGGAAGGGGTAAAACAAAATGATGTTGATTACTGAACTAAATGGCCTTGGTTTTGATATTTAAAGTTATTAAACTGACAGTTTTCCTTACACATTCTGCTTTTAACTTTTATAATCCAATCCAGTCCATTCTAATTCCTCTTCCATAGGGTATGATCTTTTCTCCATTTCAGTTTGAAGTGATCCACCCATCCAGACAGTTGCTCTTAAGCCTTCCACCCACTACAGAGACAGAGGGCTCATGTCTTCTGGTGTAGTTGATATGGTATAAAAGGAAACTCTGCAATGTGATTACAGTTTGATGTGTAGCACAGTTGCAGGCACAACTTCCTTCATTAGAGAATTTTGAAAGCCTGTTGTTAGGAGACAGCAGGAGCTTGCAAACCTGAAATGCAGGCTGGTACAATTTAGGGGAACTTCTAAATAAAGCATTGCTGTGGTAATGACCACAAGCTACCCAAGTTTGTCCTGTTTTTTGTTGTTAAAAGAAACTTGCTCTCAAATCTTTTGAACAATTTCAAATGTCATTAAGACTCTTACTATACATTCCTTATGTTTACAGCCTCGTTTCTCAGAATATCTCTATGTTTGGAGCCTGGGGCAGTTGCTGTATTATCTCAGTGTTCATGCATGTTTTTACAGGGTTTTAGGAGAAAGTATCATTTCCTGACTGAAGCCAACTAACCCGCTGAAACATCCTTCTCCCCTTCATTTTACTACTCTTTCAGAAAGCCATGAAACTGATCTGTGCTGAATGGAGTTCAAATTAAGGAAACGTTGGTTGTAAAACACATTAAACAGAGCTGTAAAATGAAGCTTGGATATGATTGCCTCCTTTTATTAATATGAATCTCACAGTCTTTGAACTCTGAGTAGATTTTGCACAGCATTCTTAGCTTTTGGCAACTTGTTTCTCTACTCATTTCACTTTTTACCTTACATTTTTGCAGTGAGAAGAAGAGAAAGCCAGCATGGACTGATAGAATTCTATGGAAAGTGAAAAATCTCAGTGAGGTTGCATCAAAAGAAGGCGAATTCCCTGAAGAAGAGAACCTGATTTCTGTTACTCTGATTAACTATGTCAGTCACATGAGCTATGGCATCAGTGATCACAAACCTGTCACAGGAACTTTCAAGCTTGAGGTGGTGCCCTAGTTATGTTGTTAAGAAAATGTTTGGTTTTACTCAGTGTTGCCTTACAGCAGCTGATTTCCTAAACCATAATCTCTGTTTCATTCTGGTCATAGTGAAGGCAGCAAATTGCTTTTAGGTTATTTGCAGTCAGTTAAAGAGTCCCACAGTTGTGGCAGAGAATAACTTGAACAGAACAACTGTAAGAATAACAGGCTTGAGTGAGTTTAAACTCTGTTTTTTTGTGTAGATGAAGCCTCTTGTCTCAGATCCCTTGGTCGTGCTGAATGCTGAGGGTGAGTGGAGTGCAGAGCACGATGTTCTCATCCGCTACTCTGCAGTGCCTGAATTCCCCAGCAGTGCTTGGGACTGGATTGGGCTCTTCCAGGTAATGTCACCTCATCATGGCTCTTCAGCAGAGATGGGGAATGGGACTGCAAGAGGTCCTTGGGAGTTTCAGAGCAATGATTCTTGCTAGTGCAGAACTCTGGGAAGTAGCTGTGTCCTTGATTAGTTTCTGTGTGCTGGCAGTTTAGCTCTACAGCATGTTCTTCCACACCCTTTAAATTCTCTGCTAAGATAATCTTTTTGTTTATTGAAGTAAAATGTTGCAGAAGCTGTGGAAAGGAGTTTATGCAACAGAAACAAAGAACAAAATAATCAATAGAAGGGTGAGAGAACAGAGCAGTCCCAGCCTCTCAGAAACAAAAGATGTGTTCATGCTCCCAAAATGTTTTGATCCTAAGAATGATTTAATTACTTCAGTGAAACAGTAAACATCTCTCACAACTTTGTTTTTCAGGTACTATGGTTTTTGTTTCCATCAGGAAGCTGATGGTTTGTATCTTTCTGTGCAGGTGACTTTCAGGCATGTGAAGGATTATGTTACTTATGCTTGGGTGGAAGATGATGAAATATCTTCCAGCAGAGACAGTAAACAAGTAAGTCAGTTGTATTTCTTTCTAATGTAGTTCCCTATAGAGTAGCATTGGAGGTCTGTTCCATATCCCCTTCCCTTCACGGGTTCTGTATCCTCTTCCCAGTTGAAACTAAGTGGGAATAATATTATTGTTTTAAATCCCTCTTCCTAATTCTTCCTATTGAATGTTTTGGTCCCTCTTTAAAAACTGCTGTCTGCTAGAGAGCTTTCTAGTAGTGATTACCTAAAGTGATTTAAACCAAACAAATAAAACTTACTTTGATGCTAATGATAAATATCCAGAGATACTTATCTGAGCAAATAGAAATTGGGAACGATGACTCCTTGGGACAGGAGCAAACCAAGCTTGTGAATTGCTCTGCTGCTGCCACCAGGAGGCAGCTCCACTCCCTGTGCTGCTCTGTGGCTTTGTCCCTTCCCTTCCAACCACTGCGGGTTTCTCCTCCCTTGTCACTGAACCAAGCCAGCTTGCTGACATGGTAAAGGATATTCCTCCTCCTTCCTGATTTAATTTTCAGATGATTTCCTAAGTTATTTCTGTCTCCATCCGTTTTAACTTACGTTTTAAAATGTGCTTATAAATAGCAAATACTGATTTTGATGGTATCCTGAATGGCTTTTTTGTAAATTTCTTTTTCTGTGGAAATTGCTCATTGCCTGTTCTTATTCTTGCCAGGTTTACATGAGTGCTTCAGAAATACCTAGGACGGGAGGAGAATTTTTGCTTTGTTATTTTAGCAATAACTTGCAGTCAATAGTTGGCATCAGTGAACCTTTTCAGGTAATACATTAGGAAGCATTGATTAATGTTGATGAGATTTTTTTATAACTTCTTTTTTTTTAAGATGCATCTGAACACAGCTGTGTTAATCCTTGGGAAGGTGGCAGCAGAAGGAATTTTAAAAAGAATTTGTCTTGGCTAAAAAGAATTTGCTGATGTGCTGAAAGACTCTGAGTGGCTGTTACAGCATCACACAGCAGTGAAACAAGACAGGTTTCTCTCCCTCACTGTTCACTTTTGGAATTTCAGGCTCCCTGTTAGGTCCCCAGTTTCTGTAAAGATGACAAATCAAGTGCTGCCAAATTTCTGGCATGTTGTAAGTGAGCTCTTTGTGCTCCATTCTGTGATTTGCACCCAAGTGTTTCCTGTAAATTGTCACTTGAATTTGGGAAGGATGGGACAACTGGACTCAGGTTATTTGATTTACAGGCTTTGTTTCATTTCTGCAAGGATGCCTTAATCTGCCCAAACAAGATGAACTGACCAAGCATTGCTGCTTCTGCACAAGCACGGTTTTTTTCCAGAATAATTTTGTTTGTGCATAATTTTCAATGCTGTCATGGCTGTGCTCATGTGCTGGGGAATCACTGAAATAGGAATTCTGTACTGTTGGTGGTGAGGATGAAGGGGTTGTAGAAGACTGTGAAACCTCAGTGCCTTAGGGGATAAAATAATGAAAGTTCCTGGGCTAGCTGGTATCCCATTCCTGTTTTATACTATTATATCTTTTTTTAGACGTTCTATTCCTATTCTTCTCTGTATGGGTGAGGAACATGGCAGAGTGGAGTATTTGTGTTTTCTCTGAGCTCAGTATCTAACACAGATTTTGCAGGATTGTTGCCTTTCTTCTTACATGACATTTAACGTTTTGATATCACTGTAGTGAATTTTTACTAGATTTTAAAATCAGTTTTTAGCAAGCATGACAGACTTCTTTATATAATAGTATGAATAATACAGAACAACAATGCTTTTGAATTGTTAATTTGGTTTTTATCCTGTTTTTCTCCTAGATTCAGCCTAGCCAAGAACCAATAGAAAAGGATCTGCCAGAGGAAGAGAGCAGCTGGCTGCATAAACCTGACAATCCAGAACCACGTCGTGATTCTGAAAAAAGAAAGGGCACATAATGGTCCTGGTTCAGCAGTCAGATGATTCTTTATGTCTTAGTGATTGTAAGCTTTTGCTCTTAGAAGATGGAGTAAGACAGGTAGGATTGTTCAGAAACTTTGGAAGCTTGTAGAGGATAATTTATTGTGGAAATGGATATTTTTATTCTGGGGAGAGTAACTCTCTTGCACTGGATGAGAACTGTAAAATAGCACTTAAGGAATGCTGTGTGTTTTAAGGTGATAGACATTTCTAATGCAATGATTTAACCTAAGGAAGTTGCAATGTTTAATAGATTTTTAAGCTTGTTCCTTTTTATGTAGAGGATATTTTATTTAAGATGCAATATTTACTATGCTGTAACTACTTAATAATTGATTTCCAAATTTTGAGTTTAAATGAAGTTATTTAAAAATTATTTATTAGATACAGCTAGTTAGCTTGTTTTGAAATTTTATTTGACTTTCAAATGTAAGCTAATTACCTTTTGGGAAACACCAGTGACAACAGGTCACATGAAAAAAATCTTTGGAGTGTGTAATGTCTCCTTTGGTAGATCCTTCTCTTCATGCCTTACTGAGAACTCTTTGTAGGATTTTCCATTTCTGATTCTTCCAAATTGAAATACATTTATCAAAATGCACTATTCTTGATTTTTTTTAATTCTTCTTTTATAAAACAACTAAGCAATTTGCTTATTGCCTTTCTCCCCCTCGTTAAAAAATGTAAAATAAACCCATTTTTATACCAGTCCCTGGCTTGGAGTGAGCCAGGATCCCACAACTTCTGAGGGAAATATTGCTTTAGCATATTTCCCATTCCATTTAGCATATTTCTGCAAAAATGCAGAGGAATATTGCTTTAGCATAAATGAGCAGCCCATGGTTGGTGACTTGGCATAATCTTTGAAAAGTGTAAGTCTCTTCAATTTATAGCAATCAGTCTGCAAACTTTCTGTTTTTCTAGAGGTGCTCAGACCTTTCTGTATCCTGTGCACTTGAGGGTGGAGATGGAATAAGAAATTTCTTGTACCTTTAGGAACCTGAAAGGTAGTTAGCTTTTGAAAGGCTCTTGTTTCTTGGTGAGGAAATAGAGATCTTTGGAAAGGATAGGAAAGGGCACCAGCATTCCACAGAATCTCAGGCTGCAGTGCTCTGTATCCACAGCTCCAGGTGTGGTGAGCAGAGTTAGTCACTCCTCACTGGCACAGGGATAGAAAAGAACAGATTTGGATCAGGTGGAAGAGCAAAGACTGTTGGGATGTTCATGCTGGAATTCTGTTCAGAACTGAGTGGATTCCTTTCTGCTCTTTTTCTCAAAGCCTTATTTTTTTTCAGGGTTGTTTTGAGATAGAAAGTTAACAGCTTGATAGGATATTTGTTTTGCTTTTATCATTCACTGTATAAAATCTTTTGAGGTCCAGGTGTCTTTGTGTCCTGTTGAAGCTCTGACATAGGTTTCTGGTTAGGTAGTTGCAGTGGGCTTTAGGAACACTTGGCCTCTGTAGGTTTTAGTTGCATCTCACTTGATGCTTGGTGTTGGGAACTGTTCCCAGTAGTGAGGGCAGGTTCAGAGGATACTGTGTTCATTGCATGGATTAACACTGCCTTGAGGTTTACAGTTTGTACATTCCTGTTACACTTTGGAACCATATTAGAACCAATTTTCCCATTTATACTGGTCCCCCAAGGATTTGTTTTGCTCTGAATCTTTCAGATATGTGACTTCTCATGGCACTTAGGGCATCAGACAAATCCCTGCTTCGAATTGCAGTACCTTCTGCAGTTCCTGTCCTGTGCTGTCTCAGGTTTCACTCGTGTAACTCTGACCATTCTCCATGCGAGGAGATTCTGTGGAGAGCCCAAAGAGGCTTTGAATTCCAGACCACAGCTGGCGATTTACTGTGGACCAAGATCCAGTTTCTTCTTAGCAGGGTGCCCTGCAGCCTCTTTGCAGGGGTGAGACACTCGAGATCCTTTGTGTTTGTGGGAGCTGAGAACCCTCTGTCACTGGACACAGAAGCTGCATTTTGTAAACTGATCCTTTGAACCACAGGACTTCCCGGAAAATGCCCCCAGCAGCTGGGATTGGAACTGCTTGTGTGTAAGGAGGATGCTGCACAGAACTCTGCACTTCTTTCTTCAGTATTATGCACACAGAGGCACTTTTGTTTACTACTGTTACCTATGGTAGCTTTTCAAACTATTCCATGACCTGTAATGATGCAATTTCTGATGAAATTTATCTTTTCTTAAAACACCTTTAATTGGATGTTATAATCACTGGAAATGTTTTTATACTCATGTGTTTTTCTTTTCATGTACCTCTAAAATAAATCCTGGCAGTGAAGTGTTGTGCATGGCCTCTGTTAATTTGAGAAGGAACAGACTGGTTTGGGTGGGGAAGATGAATTTGTAACCTTTCTCCAAGGAGCTTGGTTTGGTCATGTTTAATGCACAGATAAAAGTATTCTAGAAGGAAATCAGTAACAACCTATGGCAGGACTTGGGCTGCAAAAGAAGGGCAAGGACAAAGCAGATTCATCTTCTTCCCTATTTCAATGAATCCAGTATTAAATGCTCTTGTGGTTTTGCATTTTCTGTCCTTCTTCCCCACTGAGGAGGTTTCGACATTTTCCCTGTAAAAATGCCCAAACCACTTGACATTGTTTCTTAATTTTTGAGAACAGGTTCTTCCACTTTCACTTTTTCACAGTGAATTTTTTATGGTGTGATTTGAGGTGTCTCTTTTGCCTTTATGAAAGATCTGCTAAATTATGCTTCGTATTTTAAATTTAGTATATTTTTATATAAATTTGCACTCGATTTCCATCTAAAGATAACTTTTCATAACTCTCTGCTGTTGGAGAATTAATTTTCAAATGGGAACTATATATCCCAAGGAATGTTGTCCAGTGTAGCCTCATTGAACTCCCATATATTTGTGATTGCTGGCTAACCTCAGGATGTGCAGTGTATCATTGCACACAGATAGTACAGCTCTGTGTAAACAGGAAATATTTCTAAGATGTCTTGCGTGTTTGTGAGACCCTAAAAATACCTTCTGATAAAGACCATTGTTTCTACTACCACTGCTTCCTTCTCTGCTCTTGGACACTGAGTGACACTCAGATGAACTTGTCTGAATTAATATACTGCAGTGGAAGGGCCAGTTGAACAAAGTTGGAATTAAGTTTTCCTTGAGAGAGGAAATGATACCTTTTTTGAGAGCTCTGTGTTGCTAACAGGAAGTTTCCTGTGGCCCTTTCTCTCCCTGGATTTAGGGTTTGTTGTTTGAACATGATTGACACAAAGCAATTTCTATTTAACCTGCAGTTACTCTGGAAAATGATCAGCTCTGGAACTGCCCTGAATTTGTTTAATTGCTTCAATTTGAGGAACATCATGGATCTGTGTGATGTACATGATTTGTACATCCCACCTCCCTCTATTGCAGTGGAACTGTCATCTTCCACTTACAGGGTCTCTGCAATTTAAAAGAACATTGTGCAGCCTAGAAAGCAGCAAGAGAAATCTGTGTGGGAACAGCTGAACACAGGTTGGGACAATTACTTGAGGTAAACAGTGAAGTGTGAGATGTGGGGATGCAAACTGGCCAGAGGAAATGCAGAGGTGCAGGAAAAATTCAGAAAATATGAATACAGGCACCACAGAAGGATGAAAAACAGAGTAGCAAACATTTTAACCTGCTAGGCATGCTTTGAAACTGGCAGTTCTCAAGTACAGACATCAGCTCTGGTAGGGAATGTTTCAGCTTCTTTGTCCAGTTCCAATTGCACTGTAACTGTGTGGTTTTGAGCTCAGGCTCATCAGAGACCACGCTATGCTCCTCTGTGCCCATTTTTATTTTGTTCTTTCAAATTTTTTCCAGCTTCTTTATGCTTTTCTTTACCTTTTTTTTCCTCTTACCACTCACTTATTTACTCACTTGTAGCCCGTTTTCAGAAGGTTTTTGTGCACATAATTCTGGTATCTGCACCACAGAAGCCGTGCCACTAACACACCTTTGGTGTTCTGATCTTGGTGATTTCTCTCTATAGAAAGGGGAGGTAAATCAGGCTGAGTATTCCTCCTTATTACTGAGAATAGGGTGGGTTTGTTTGGGGAAGTCACAGTTGGGTTTTTAAATGTGATAAAATCTATTTTTTTTTTTTTAGTAGAACTCCATATTGGGAAGTGCTCAAGGAAACAAACTGTTGGACTGGAACAATCTTGTGTATAACAGCTAAGGAGGCATCATAATAATTATTCCAGATATGGAACACAGAACAGTCACAGGCCCTTTCTTTGCAGTTGCTGAACAGAATTGTGTTACCTGTATCTGCTCTGGAGTGACCAGTGCTTGTTAATCTTATTAATTAGTCTTGTTAATGCTTTCTTAGCAAGCATTATCAACTGCAGTTGGTTTGTTAGTAGAGTTGAAAATTCAAATTTGGCTCTTCCAAGAAGATAGAAGGAATTATGTCCTCATCAAATCTTAAAACACCTAAAATTGAGACTGATTTTATCCCCCCTAGTCACAGTCAGGATATCTGATCTCTTTTTTTGGAGGGTGATAGGTCTGGCCACTCCATTAATGAATGGCATGATCATTGTAAAGCTCTGTAATTGCACTTAAACCAGTGTTCACCAGATTATTTTTCTCCTATTTGTAGGAATTTTCATGCTGTAACATGCCAATTAATTTCCTTTGCCATAATTAGTTAGCTACTCAAGGACTCAATTAATAATGATTCCGTTCTGCAGCAGTTTGCAGAACTTCCTGTAGTTACCATGGGAGCAATCAGGGTTTTCTATTGCTTGCTCTTGGAGGCAAAGATGAAGGATTTTTTTTTTCTGTACAAAATCTCTTGGTAGGTTTTTGAAGTCCACCATGGGATTGTTTCGTGCCAACACCTCAGAAACAGCATCCGCAGCGACCTGACTTTCCTGAGCCCGGTGGGACAGAAATGGAACAGCAGCAAAGTTGGAGGCAATAAACACAAACATAAATTTAGGCTTCTTGGAACTGTCGTGGCACGTTGGAATGAGTGGAAACCAGTCTTGAACTTCATTGTTTCAGCTCTCACCTAACACTTAGTATAAATACAGAGGTTCATCTTTTCCTCTCACAACAGGGCTCCGAACCAAAGGCTGCACTCAGTCAAGCTTGGCTGCTGCTGCTGCTGCACACTGAACTCAGAACTATCCACAAAGAATAGGGGGATTTACTGACTTTGAGAAAATGGAGCTGCAGATTGAACGTGTCCCTACAGGAGAAATCATCCGCGTGGTCGGGCACAAGGCAGAGCGCAGGACTGTAAGCCTGGCTTTTATTCTTCTGTCCTCTTCTGGCACTGGTGGTTACACAATAACCACCTTAGACCTGAGCTGAGCAACTCCAGGGCAAGAATGGGAGGGTTTGCAGGGCTGGTTGGTCATTGGAGTGACTGGAGCTGTGCTGTGAACAGTTTTGTCTCTCTGGGATGGATTTACCAGTAGTGAAGTGAGTGGGAGTTTAGAAAATAATTCAAATTTATTTCCTGTAGAAATACTGCAGTGAGCCCAGTTTGGCCTGGCTGTATGAATTCTGTCACAATTCTGGGAGCACTTTCAGACTGCAGAGGAAGGAAAAGAGCTTTGAAAC